CTTTAGTCTATTCTATAGTCCAGACTATAGTCTATTCTATAGTCCATACTTTAGTCTATTCTATAGTCCAGACTATAGCCTATTCTATAGTCCATACTTTAGTCTATTCTATAGTCCATACTTTAGTCTATTCTATAGTCCATACTTTAGTCTATTCTATAGTCCATACTTTAGTCTATTCTATAGTCCAGACTATAGTCTATTCTATAGTCCAGACTATAGTCTATTCTGTAGTACAGACTATAGTCTATTCTATAGTCCAGACTATAGTCTATTCTATAGTCCAGACTATAGTCTATTCTATAGTCCAGACTATAGTCTATTCTATAGTCCAGACTATAGTCTATTCTATAGTCCAGACTATAGTCTATTCTATAGTCCAGACTATAGTCTATTCTGTAGTCCAGACTATAGTCTATTCTATAGTCCAGACTATAGTCTATTCTATAGTCCAGACTATAGTCTATTCTATAGTCCAGACTATAGTCTATTCTATAGTCCAGACTATAGTCTATTCTATAGTCCAGACTATAGTCTATTCTATAGTCCAGACTATAGTCTATTCTATAGTCCAGACTATAGTCTATTCTATAGTCCAGACTATAGTCTATTCTATAGTCCAGACTATAGTCTATTCTATAGTCCAGACTATAGTCTATTCTATAGTCCAGACTATAGTCTATTCTATAGTCCAGACTATAGTCTATTCTATAGTCCAGACTATAGTCTATTCTATAGTCCAGACTATAGTCTAGACTATAGTCTGTTCTATAGTCCAGACTATATTACATTCTATAGTTTAGACTATAGTCTGTTCTATAGTCCAGACTATAGTCTGTTCTATAGTCCAGACTATAGTCTATTCTATAGTCCAGACTATAGTCTATTCTATAGTCCAGACTATAGTCTATTCTATAGTCCAGACTATAGTCTATTCTATAGTCCAGACTATAGTCTATTCTATAGTCCAGACTATAGTCTATTCTATAGTCCAGACTATAGTCTATTCTATAGTCCAGACTATAGTCTATTCTATAGTCCAGACTATAGTCTATTCTATAGTCCAGACTATAGTCTATTCTATAGTCCAGACTATAGTCTATTCTATAGTCCAGACTATAGTCTATTCTGTAGTACAGACTATAGTCTATTCTATAGTCCAGATTATAGTCTATTCTATAGCCCAGACTATAGTCTATTCTATAGTCCAGACTATAGTCTATTATATAGTCCAGACTATAGTATATTCTATAGTCCAGACTATAGTCTATTCTATAGTCCAGACTATAGTCTATTCTATAGTCCAGACTATAGTCTATTCTATAGTCCATACTTTAGTCTATTCTATAGTCCAGACTATAGTCTATTCTATAGTCCATACTTTAGTCTATTCTATAGTCCATACTTTAGTCTATTCTATAGTCCATACTTTAGTCTATTCTATAGTCCATACTTTAGTCTATTCTATAGTCCAGACTATAGTCTATTCTATAGTCCAGACTATAGTCTATTCTATAGTCCAGACTATGGTCTATTCTATAGTCCAGACTATAGTCTATTCTATAGTCCAGAATATAGTCTATTCTATAGTCCAGAATATAGTCTATTCTATAGTCCAGAATATAGTCTATTCTATAGTCCAGAATATAGTATATTCTATAGTCCAGACTATTGTCTATTCTATAGTCTAGATTATAATCCAGACTATTGTCTATTCTGTAGTCCAGACTATAGTCTATTCTATAGGCCAGACTATAGTCTATTCAATAGTCCATACTATTGTCTATTCTATAGTCTAGACTATAATCCAGACTATTGTCTATCCTGTAGTCCAGACTATAGTCTATTCTATAGGCCAGACTATAGTCTATTCTGTAGTCCAGATTACAGTCTATTCTATAGTCCAGAATATAGTCTATTCTATAGTCCAGACTATTGTCTATTCTATAGTCCAGACTATAGTCTGTTCTATAGTCCAGATTACAGTATATTCTATAGTCCAGACTATAGTCTATTCCATAGTCCAGATTATAGTCTATTCTATAGTCTAGACTATAGTCTATTCTATAGTCCTGATTATAGTCTATTCTATAGTCCAGACTATATTCTATTTTATAGTCTATTAAATAGTCCAGACTATAGTCTATTCTATAGTCCAGATTATAGTCTATTCTATAGTCCAGACTTTAGTCAACTCTACAGTCCAGACTATTCTATACTTCTGACTATAGTCCAGTCTATAATCTATTTTATATTCTATTCTTCCATAATCTTTATTATAGTCTAGTTCTTCTATTAAAATAAAAAATTTCCCCATTCGTCTCTGCAAACAGCGAAAAAAATTCTATCTCAAAAAGTAATTATTTTTCATCTAATTAAATTAAGAAACTTTAAAAATTTTAACATATTTTAACTGTGGGTGTTAAGAAGTCTGAAAAAAAAATCAATTTTAAAACTTCCTTTCTTTTAAAAAATTTCCTAATTTTTTTAAATTTTCAACAACATCTGTTATTCTTCTCAAAGTCTTAAAAAAATAACGTTCAATTGTTTTTGTTCTGTTAACATTAGTTACTTTTTGGTATTCATTACAACACCAACTATTATATACATGTATCTTATAAGTTTTTTATTGGGTTTCATGTTGTTGTTGCTGCGGCTGCTGCTGGTTCTGTTTCAGTTCAGAAATGAAATAAATATCTTAAAGTTTAGATCTTTTTCTATGATATTTTTGTAGTTGTTGTAATATTAAAAAGGTTTGTTGAACTTGCTATTGTTACGGCTGCTGCTGTTGGCTGGCTGACTGACTGTTTGCTGCTTTCTATTTATTGCTGATATTTTTTTTTCGATACTTTTTGGTTGTTTGATGCCGGTGTAGTATTTGTATCTTTAAGCTTTAATTTCCGTGTAGTTGAAGCAGTTGTATATGGTTACATTTGAGGCTTTTAAGAAAAAAAGTAGTGGGTACGGTTTTTTATTGTATGTTGTTGTAATGTCAGACAAAAAAGTTACCTATATTTTATTTTTGAAATGCCCTACAGTAGGGGTATTAAGACAAACTTTAGTCCCAACTACGGAATAGACTATAGACTAGACTATATAGCCAATAGACAGGACTATAATCCAGTTTAGACCAGACTATAGCCCAGACTATAATATAGACTAGTCTATGGTCCCAACTTTAGATCAGAGTGCAGGCTATAGACCAGACTATAGTTCAGACTGTAGTCCAGATTATAGTCCAGACTATAGACCAGACTATAGTCCAGACTATAGACCAGACTATAGACCAGACTATAGACCAGACTATAGACCAGACTATAGACTAGACAATAGACCAGACTATAGACCAGACTATAGACCAGACTATTGACCAGACTATAGTCCAGACTATAGTCCAGACTATAGACCAGACTATAAACTAGACTATAGACCAGACTATAGACTATAGACCAGACTATAGACTAGACAATAGACCAGACTATAGACCAGACTATAGACCAGACTATTGACCAGACTATAGTCCAGACTATAGTCCAGACTATAGACCAGACTATAAACTAGACTATAGACCAGACTATAGACCACACTATAGGCCAGAATATAGACCAGACTATTGACCAGACTATAGACCAGACTATAGACCAGACTATAGACCAGACTATAGACCAGACTATAGACCAGACTATAGACCAGACTATAGACCAGACTATAGACCAGACTATAGACCAGACTATAGACCACTAGACCAGACTATAGACCAGACTATAGACCAGACTATAGACCAGACTATAGACCAGACTATAAACCAGACCATAGACTAGACTATAGACCAGACTATAGGCCAGACTATAGATTAAACTATAGACCAGACTATAGACTAGACTATAGACCAGACTATAGACGAGACTATAGACTAGACAAGACTTTAGCCCAGACTGTAGAATTGATTATAGTCTGACTACAGACTAAATTATAGCCCTGACTATAGACTAGACTATTGTCCAGAATGTTTACTATACTATAGTCCAGAATATAGGCTAGACTATTAATCAGACTATAGTCCAGATTAAAAACTAATTTATAGTCAAGACTTCTGGTTTTGTTCTAGTTCTGTTCTAGTTATATTCCAGACATCAATTATGTCTTTGTCCTTTTCTGGTTTTGTTCTAGTTGTGTTCTAGTTCTGTTCTAGTTCTGTTCTAGTTCTGTTCTAGTTCTGTTCTAGTTCTGTTCTAGTTCTGTTCTAGTTCTGTTCTAGTTTTGTTCTAGTTCTGTTCTAGTTCTGTTCTAGTTCTGTTCTAGTTCTGTTCTAGTTCTGTTCTAGTTCTGTTCTAGTTCTGTTCTAGTTCTGTTCTAGTTCTGTTCTAGTTCTGTTCTAGTTCTGTTCTAGTTCTGTTCTAGTTCTGTTCTAGTTCTGTTCTGATCTGTTCTAGTTCTGTTCTAGTTCTCTTCTAGTTCTGTTCTAGTTCTGTTCTAGTTCTGTTCTAGTTCTGTTCTAGTTCTGTTCTAGTTCTATTCTAGTTCTGTTCTAGTTCTGTTCTAGTTCTGTTGTAGTTCTGTTATAGTTCTGTTCTTGTTCTGTTCTAGTTCTGTTTTAGTTCTGTTCTAGTTCTGTTCTAGTTCTGTTCTAGTTCTGTTCTAGTTCTGTTCTAGTTCTGTTCTGGTTCTTGTTCTGTTCTGGTTCTGTTCTGGTTCCAGTTGAAGCGTATTCTTATATTCTTCTCTGCCTAATAATATTTCTCTTTCTGGTTCTTTCTAATATTTTTTAAGAATTGTTATTTTTTCATGTTTAGTTTCAAAAGTCAAATATATTACTCTTTCTTCAACTACTAGAACCACCAACTATGTACGTCATATAAACATTATTTTTTACTACTTTAACTTTTTATTATTTCTTGCAATCTTGTGGCTTTTGTCTTGTATATTTTTTTCTTATAAATTTAAAGGTAAAATGTTAAAAATTATTATTACTATTTTAATTTTTTGTTGTTTATTTCCAGATTTTATATACAATTTTATTGTTTGCAAGCGGCAAAACAGGTTTGTTACTATTTTTTTGTGTTATTTTATAGATTTTAAAGTATGAAAAAACGTACTAAAAAAAGATATGATATGAAATAGAACTGAAATTAGGTTTGGAATTCTTTTAAAATAAATTATATTTTTTTGTAATTTAATTGAATTTTGATGTTAGAGGAATGTTTAGGAAGGCTTTTTTATTACTGTTTAAAACTAACTGGTCCACTTATTGTTTTACTTAGCAAATATTAGGGGGAAATTAATTTGTTTTAAAAGTTTTAAAATATTAGACATTTGCTGTCATTAAAACTACCCACAAAGTGTAAAAAATTATTTAAAAGATTTAAATGTTTACATTATTAGTTTTTAACAGATTTTCAAAAATGATTTATGTAAATTATTTTTTTTTTTCAAAGTAATCTTGATTAATGAAAAACGATTAACATAGAATATGTTTTGCAAACTACAGCTTAACATGACATCATTTAAAGGCAACGTCATAAATAAATCCAAAACAAACAAATTATTTAAAAAATAAATACATAAAAACAACAACAACAAGTGATAATAATTGATTATAATTTATAAAGAACAATTTAGCTTAAACCAAATACAAATCTAGAATATTAAATAAAAAAAAAAATAAATTGAAAAATTGTTTAAAGGTCTTGTCGTTCAATTCAGTTGTTTTTCAAATTATTTTAAATAAATTCAATATAATGACAGTTAAATATTTTTAAAAAGCATATAATAATGTGTAACGAATTGCAAACAATTTTTAAATAAATTTATGCAATTTTGGTGTAATAACAAATAAATTACTAAAAGTGCCAATGTAAAAGTCATATGAATTTTAATGTTTTTTTTGTGTTTGTTTAAAGGACGTTTTTTCAATACAAAGTAATTTTTTTTTTGCAAAAATACAGACAAATATTTTTAGCTTAACAAACAATTTGACAGTTTGAATTCATCAATCTAACGAATTGACAGCAATTAATGCTTTTATCTCGGTATGTACAATAACAGTAAAACCTTGAATCAATTATTAAAATTTTTAAGAATATTTTTTTATGAAATGTTTAATTTTTAAGAATTTTTTAAAAATATTATTTAATTTACTCAATGATACTCTATTTATAGAGAACCCACTGTATTTCTATCATTTATTTGTATCGCAATTTATCTGGGGAGGGTTTAAAAAGTTTATGAATGTAGTTTAACTAGAGATAAGTCGTTAATGGTTCAAGGTTCATTTACACAAATCCACCTTTCCATTTCAATATTTTAAATAAAATTTGTTGCATTTGTTTGCGTAATATTTATGTGAAATATTTGCAAAAGTTCTATGAATAGAGAATGATTTGTCGTATACAAAAAATGTTTATAAAAACAATTTTGTATTGACATTTGCATAAACGTCATTTCAAGTGCCGATTTAAGGTGTTAATTTTGCGTATAATAGTTTGATGACAAAAGTTTTTACAAAAATTTTAATTTTATTAAAGAAAATAATGAAATCAATTTAGTTTGAAGAAAAATTGTATGTTTTAAAAATGTTGTTAAGTATTTATAATACTATTATAATGTAATAGAATGCATTATAATACTATTATAATGTAGTAGAATGCATTATAATACTATTATAATGCAGTAGAATGCATTATAATACTATTATAATGCAGTAGAATGCATTATAATTGAGTTACAATGTGGCATAAATCATTATTATTAAACTATAACAATGCAGTATGTATTATAATTGAGTTATAATGTATTATAATACATTATAATTGTATTATAAGGTAGAAAAATGCATTATAATTGAGATATAATGTAGTAGAATGTATTATAATTGAGTTATAATGTAGGAGAATCTATTATAATTGAGTTATAATATAGGAGAATGCATTATAATACTATTATAATGTATTATAATGCATTACAATTGAGTTATAATATATTATAATACATTATAATTGTACTATAGGGTAGAAAAATGTATTATAATTGGATTATAATGTAGGAGAATTTATTATAATTGAGTTATAATGTAGAAGAATGAATTATAATTGAGTTAAAATGTGGGATAAATCGTTATAATTAAACTCTAATAATGCAGAATGTATTATAATTGTGTTATAATTAAAAATTGTGTTATAATAATGTATTATAACAAATTATAATTCTATTATAATGTATTATAATGCACTATAATTAAGTTATAATATATTATAATACATTATAATTGTTTTATGAGGTAGAAAAATGAATTATAATTGGGTTATAATGTAAAAACTGTATCATAACTGCATTATAATGTAGCAAAATTCATTATAATTGGGTTATAATGTAGAAGAATGTATTATAATTGTATTATAATGAAGAGGAATGAACTATAATTGTATTATAATTTGGCAAAAATGATTATAATTAGCTTATAATACAGAATAATGTATTATAATTGTATTATAATGTAGAAGTATTCATTATAATTGTATTATAATGTAGAAGAATGCATTATAATTATATTATAATGTAGAGGAATGTATTATAATGTATTTTAATGTAGATGAATGCATTATAATTATAGGAGAATGCATTAAAATGATATTATAATGCTGAAAAAGGTATTATAATTGTATTAAAATGTAGTAAAATGCATTATAATTAGGTTATAATGTATTACGATACATTATAATTGTATTATAATGTATTAATGTATTATAGTATATAAAAATACATTATAATAGCATTATAATGTATAAGAGTTCCTTCTAATTATGTTTCAAAGCATTAAACTAAATTATATTATGGAAATTTTCCTAGTTTTTAGCAAAAAGTTTTTTTATTTCCGTTTCATCTAGCTGACTTCATACGGCAAATATTTCTTTAACTTTAATGCATATTTCCTTGAAATTATTCTCCATTTAGTAGCGGTCATAAAAAACTATAACAAATTCTTGACAAAAATTTGGGTTAATTCATACAGAAAAAATGTCTGTGGGTGTACTAAAAATCTATAATAAAAATTTTAATTTTTGTCTTTCTTCTCACTTCAAATGACCTCCTCAACTAATTGTAATACTTTTTATTCTCTCTACTTAGAATAATTTAGAAACATTCACACGTTGCTGGCAATGTTGTCAACGTCGTCATAGTTTGCTGCATCATCATCACATTATCACGTCCGGCTAACGGACACTCATTCTTAGTTGTAGAAATATATTTAAGACACAGGATATTTAAACAAATTATTAACGCTCTAAAAATACATACACATACTTGAATAATTACTGTATTAAATTAATGACAGGTGTGTGCTGGCTAGCTAGCATGCTGCAGTTAGTATCTTAGACAAACAAACTACTTTGGTTTTAATTTATATTAAATAAAAAGATTGTGAGTAAAAAAACAGAAACAATTAAATAATTGTCATATATAAAAGTAGAATTAAAAAAAATATGAAAAATATGCTCTAAAATGTTTAGCAACAATTATCTAATTGTGACTGACAGCTGTCATAGTTACATAGAGCAAAAAAAAAACTGTCATTTCACTTTAGTTTTAATTATAAGGCGTTCTCTACTCGTTACTCTAATGGAAACTATTAGGAAAAAACACAAAGTATTGTAGTAAAAGTTATGAACTAAGGAGCTAAAGTATCACAGAAAAAATAGTGTCAAATGTTTGATTGACTGATGGTCTCAAATCAAAATGTAGGTTGCAAGAATAATATGAAAAAAAAAAAACTAAAGAAAAATTTAATTAAATTGTGTATGATAAGAGTGTTAAAAAAATATATAAGTTAAATATAATAAAGAAATGAATTGATGTTGTGGATAAAAATACATCATCATTCGTTTATGGCGAACAGATTGTTTAACACGATTATTATTACAATTTTTTATAGAATTAATTGTGCATGTAGTACTCGTACATAATATGGGTTCAGATATCAACATTTAGACATGATGATGATGATGACATCGTTTTGATAACATTGACATATAGCAAAAACAATATGTAGATTATTTTATATGCATTTTGAAAATAAAAACCTGCAGTGGATAGATGTCATCATCATCATCATGGATACAACTAACTTTTTTATAAGCAGATTATAAATATAAACATAAATAGGCTGAAACCAAAGGAAAATTTCATTCAATTCTGATTTGAACTAATTTTATTAGTTTCAAAATTGTGTTATAATGCATTATAATTAGGTTATAATGTATCAAAGTGCTTTAAAATTATATCTTAATGTTTTATAAGGCATTATAATCATGTTATAATGCATTATAATTGCGGTATAATGTATTATAATCCATTATAATGGATTGTATTGTATTATAATTGTGTTATAATGAATTATAATCCATTATATTTATATTATAATATGTTATTATCCATTATAACTGCATTATAATGTATTAAAATGCATTATGATTAAATTTTGATGTTTAGAACACATAATAATAATGTTGCAATGTATTATAATGCATTATAATTGTGGTATAATGCTTAATAAATAATTATAATAGATTGCATTGTATTATAATCGTATTATAATGAATTATAATCCATTATAACTGTATTATAATGGATTATATTCTATTATAATATAATTATAATGTATTATTATTCATTATAACTTCATTATAATGTAGTGGAATCCTTTATAATTCTGTTATAATATAACGTAATTCATTATAATTGTGATATAATTTATTATAATGCATTATAATTATGTTATAATGTAAAATATTGTATTATAATGTATTAAAATACATTACGATTATATTTTAATGTTTAATAAGGCATTATAATCGTGTTATAATGTATTATAATTCATTATAATACATTATTATTGCGTTATAGTGTACTGTGCTCTATTATAATTCTATTATAATCCATTACAATTGTGTAATAATTTATTATACTTCATTATAATTGTTTTATAATGTATACTCTGCTAATGTTGTGTTATAATGCACTATAATTCATTATAATTGCATTCA